GCACCTAATGCTCAACAAGGTCAGTTTCAGTTCTAATTGAGGGAGACATTCTTAAATTGCCTTTGCAGTTCATTCTATGTAAATCGGCCCCTGTCTATATAATAGTAATTGTCCTAGAAATCTAACCCCCTAAGAGCAAGTACAACTGGCATTTAGCAGTCCTCTATCAACAACTACCCACAGGATTGCTCTTGCCAGCCGTGATAGCGTCGTACACCTCAAGTCTTACAACTGACATCCAAGAGAGCTCTCTGGCATGATTCTCTCATCTCATCTCAGTTTTACAGTCCTCTTCTATTTGTTAAAAGGGGTTAAAAAAGAGTCTCTCATATATTTCAGAGACTGTGGTATCCTCATCTACAGGCGAACATAAAATAGACAGGATGAATGTGAAAAGGGCAGTCGGAAGTCAAACAATTACTGCTTTTGTTGTGGGCAGGAAGAAATTCGAATGCACCAGGGTCCGAAAATTAATTCGTAATGTTAATCTAAATTCACTATCGCTAGTCGCATCATGTTTCACTTTATATAATGAAAATTGGGTCTAAAAAATTAACTGGTCCAAATGTCACCCCCAGTAGGCAACACAATTTTCCAATAAATCCAATTCTTACTTTTCACAGACTAAGCAGAACGCAAAAGATGGGGAATTTACAAATATAAAACTTGTCACTAAAGGCATCTTTAAAGCAGTAACAACAGAAGTTAATGATTTTGCTGCAGAGTACGTCCCATTCGACCAGATTGGACACCATCAGCGGCAGCCATTTTGCCCCATTGAGGCTAAAATCAATAAAACTTAAATTATTCGAGAAAAACATCGTAGTAAGGAAATTAAGATAACTTACAATTATGAGAGGATTAGTTGAGTTCTCCATTCGCTTGGGAGTCATAAGAGACATCGAATTCTGTAACGGAGGTTAAGTCAATTAATCACTCTTGATAGAAGCGAAAAATCATAAAATGGATATTACTTACATTGACGGAATCGTGATTTGTTAAGGTTCCACTCCCAGTGGTGTCTAAAGTAATCGCGAAAAATTTAGAATTAGTCGATGGAGCAATATCATTACTAATGCTCCACTACAAACCTCTTCAAAAATGACCTGACCCCTGGAAATACCATCCTAAATGACAAAGGTGTAAGAAATATGGAAGATAACCTCTGGTGATTTAGAAGTTAGGGTTCCTTTTTTAGGTGTGTATAATAAATTGGACATTACTGTTGACGAATTCAAACAAAAAAATGGCATACCATCATTGACGTTGGATTTGCGTTGTCAACGTCGTCAAAATCGAGTTTAGAAGGAGGCCTAATAGGAACAAACATTTTTCGGCGTCAAGCTTCCATACTGAATTAAGTCAGATTAGTTGATCATTTAAAAGAAAAACTTGCTCCGGATACTTACTGAATGGGTTCGAACTGCCGAATTCTAGAAAGAGATGGTTGCATTAAGAGAAGTGATAATGCTGAAAGCATACCCTTAATGATGCTTTCAAATCCCCACTGCCTAGGAGACATCACTTCAATCTTAGTTGGCGTTCATAGAACATATTTCTAAATGTAAAAGAAAGATATGATGCTCAAACACAACCAAATACAGCACTACTCTGGTAGATTTACAACTGGGTCACGAATGCATCATGCTTGGCAGCACTTGTACTGAGTTGTAGCATGTCACCCTCATTTTCAAAACTCAAATTCAGAGTCCCCTTGCCTTGCTAAACACACTTCTTAATGCAGTCAGTTATTGCGCTCATTGGCTGTCCACCGATGGGCATCAAAGTGGTGACCTTTGACTTTGGTATCGCCGACACACTTGGTTGCAGTACTAATTAGATATGAGTAGTGATTTTTAGAAACCTAAGGATTTCACAAAACCACAACTATGAAAGAAATGACTCGGTTTGTTGATAATTTAAAACAAATCATTCTAAATGAAAGTTACTGTGATTTATCCAACTCTCTTTGGGCACTCTTGAAAATCTAAGACCGTAATAAGCATTTTGTCCTTGTCCGATAATTAGGTGGAATAAGATGTATGATTCCGTAAACAGTGATAGGGTCGGTGTAGTTCCGCATAAAATTCAATATAAAATTCTTGAGAAGAAGTATTATTATTATTATTATTTAGAGATGAACAAGAGTAAATTTTCGCAGCACTCAAAAATGGCATAAAAATTGACACAGGCACTGACGCATAGTTGTTTGAGGTTGTTTGAGTTTCAAAAGCAATGTATTTTGGTCATATTCCTGAATTCGGGAGACACGTATGAAGAAACTCCCACGTCCGGGTTTAGAAATACGCTTTTAGACTGGCCAAATTGACGACATTGTAGAGTTATTTTTTCGTCCGAAACTGGAAATGCGTAATTGAAAATCTTACTTTTTATGATGTTGAAATCAATTAGGGAGAGAAAACGATGCCTTTTAGGATTTCAGTCTTATAGAGCATTTCACCGACTTTGTTGCTTTCCTTGTTGTGAAGTCGGAACAGTTCGCGCTTGACACCGAGTTCATTTCTCGCTGACAATGGAAATATCCCAGTTAACGGGATAACGGGATGAAAGTTTGCTTAATATACTCGTCTGATACACAGACACACACAATTTCTTTTCAGAAAAATAACTGCCACACCAAGGTTCTACTTACTGGAAACTACATTGGTAATGCAATTAAATTAACTCATATACGCTCATATGATATTAATTTCGCAATACAAAATGACATTTATTCGTTGTTTCTTAATCTATTTCCTGATATTCAAATCATTTCACAAGGAGTAACTTGTTTGTCAATTAATTAAAATTAATTTACTGCAACCATCACAAGCATCATAAGTGGTCCGTCAATGGCGCGATTTGCAACTGACAGATAAGCTCACAAGTCGATGCAAAATTAGTGCCTTGTAATGCCATACATCATCACATGAGTTTCGGATTTGAAAATGAACTCAGATTTTCTAAATCATACGCTACAAGGTGACATTATCTCATTTTTTGTCACTTCATTTAAAATCCTCCTCTAAGTTGGCATCCTAACCAGTTTTTAAATGAATAGACTAATAAATAAATATTCGAGACGGTTAAAATCGGAGAAAATCATTTAATGATTTTTAAATAGAGTACTCTTTCATAGCCCACTTTATTGGGCAATTATTGGTCTAACCGAGAGTTGCAATTTTGTGGTTCTGGAGGTGGTATGTGACCAATTTAATCAACATATCTAATTGGGATCTAAGCTGCCTTTACTACTACCACTTCTTCTACGATTTTACACTCATGAAATATTAACTATTTCTACGACCATTAAAAAGATATTTGTAAAGTAGGTAAAAAACGTCGCGAAAATGTCTTCTAGAGTTGCTACACTGTTTGTTGGCCAAATTCATTCCCTCCACTGTTCATAGATGGTTCCCCTTGGCGTGAGCGTTGCTTGAATACTTCACCAATTGCATACGTCAAGTTGAATACATTTATTCAACTGAACAATCTCGCTTCTTTCACTTCTCACCTCTGTTCTGCTTTTCGTTGCACGTTCTTTTCTTCTCACTCCTGCTCACTTTACAGTCCCATGAATGTACAAGTCAATTTTATCTACTTTGCCAACAATGCAATACATCCTCTTTGATCAGTGTTGACGTGGTCAAATTTCTAATTCAGGTGAT